TCCTTAGGGACAGAGGAACAAAACAGGGCTGGCAGCACTAAAAGGACGCCTTTCTGAGGACACAAGTGTACTCTATCTTCCAGAATAAGAAATTAGGCAAAGAAGGAGACCAACATGGCTGAGCAAGGACCTGCTGGTCAGACTGGCAGTTGGGCTTGTTTAGTTGGGAAAAGAGAAAGTTCTAGGGAGATCCCACTGTGGCTTTCCAGTACTTGAAGGAAGCTTAAAAGCAAGAGCGGACTGACCTTTTACATGGTCTGATGGTGATACAACAAGGGGGAACGACTTTAAAAGAGGGGAGACTTAGGTTAGATGTTAGGAAGAAATTTTTTAATGAGAGGGTGGTGAGGTGCTTGAAAAGGTTGCCCAGGGAGGTTGTGAGTGCCCCATCCTTGGAGGCATTCAAGGCCAGGTTGGAGGGATCCTGTGGGTAGCAGCTATGCTGATGGCAGGGGGTTGGAGCTAGATGATTTTTAATGTCCCTCCAACCTAAGCCATTCTATGATTCTACTGTCTAAAACATGCTCAAATGAAATATTTCTGTTACATCCAGAACAGCCTTTGGCTGATGAAACATTTTGCCAGCAATATTCCAACCAGCAAAGAAGAAAATGGTGAACGTCTTTCCACAGAATAAAAGCTAGCTGCTGGAAGAGTACAACTCTTATTTAACAATGCCTGCTTAAAAAATTTTGCAGTCAGAAGGATGCACTTACTGATTTACTAAAATGGAATATTTCAGTTATGGTCTCTCTTGAGATAATAAATGTTGCCTTACTGGAATTGTAGGCTGTGAGAATTTTTTTTAGTGGTTCTCCTTATTTTGAAGCAGAACAAACTAAACTAAAACATGGTATTTTTTCATTGTTTTACTTTGACTTGCAGATTTGTCAAGACTTTCAACTTTGCAGTGAGAACCTACTTTCAACACAGTCTTTTATGTAAACACTGTACTTCCTGTTTTGCTTCAAAGCAAAATGATAAAGAAATTTTGACAGTTAAGCAGTCTTATCACAACAGGTATTTATAATCAAATCTCCTGCAACTCAAGGATTTTGCAGACAATAGCAGAGCTTCTTTCTGTTCAGTGTTCAAGAACCTGTGTAACAGAGCCAAGACTTTAAGCACAGGAGCTTTTCCTCATGTTGCTATTCACAGAAAACAACTTTTCTTTTTTTTCTTTTTTTTAGGAAGAAAACATTTTTTATTAGGTCAATATATACAGTTGGGTAAAGCAGGTATTAGGTAAAGCATACACGCTTTCAAGTGGATGAACAACCTGTTGGGTCTGAAACAGAGAAAATGTGAAGGTATTTCTAGCTGATTGCTCTGAATTGCCCTTAACTGTGTTAATCAGTTAGACATCTGAGAGAAAAGTGTTTGTTATTTTAGGTGTGGAAGGTGATCCTGGCTCTCCTAAGGCTTCAGGAGGTGACAGAAATTTAGATGACCAGAGAAAGTGGTAGGAAATTCCTCATGAAGATCACTGATTCTTGAAACACGGAGAAAATTACAGGCCTGTCTTGAAAGCATCTGATATAATATCTGGTATCCAACAGAGTTACAAACTTTTGTTCTCTGGCCTACCTTTAATCTTTCAGAGTCAGGCCAGCAAGTTTGGAGATGCCCATAGTTGTTTTGGGAAGATTACTTTCCAACTAGTGTCACTGTTCTATCCTAATTACGTAGAACCCAGTGGTAGTGTGGTTTCAGCCACAGCTTCCTGAGAGCACTGAATGCATCACACAATGCATCACAGGATGTGCATATGCAGGATCTATGGATGTTGGCAGCTCTGGCGTAGCAGGCATTTATTATATAGGTTGTGGCAAAATTTGGACCTGATTTTCTGGAGTCATCTAGTTCTAGCCAGTGCATATTGGTCTGCCAAAAATTTTCTTAGTGTTGGAGCTGATGATGCTGAGTGTTGTTGGAAGGAAAAGGGGGATGGTTTTAGGAAAAATCACTTAGAGGTATGATTTTCTTAAAATATAAGTTGCAGATTGTTAATATTTTCCAGTATATATTTCTTGCACATTGTGGTGCACGATAACCAGTGAGGGATTTTCTCTGTATTGTAGTAAGTTTGTAGAGGGCTTAGGTGGCTTCTTCAAATATGCAATCACAGAGGAGTGTCACTATTGGATGAACATCAGCTGTTGCTTTTGCCTTCTGAGGGTGTGCTACGAATGTTCTCCTCAGAGCAAATGAGGTGATGTTTGTGGGCTGGTACTATATCACAGTTTTTCTGCTTTGTTTTGGATAGCTGTTGGTTTGTGGAAGGAGGTGTGTTGGTCTGTGGATTTTCTGCATATGGTAGTTTGTAGGTTGCTATTTTTTATGTTGACCGTGGTGTCTAGAAAGTTGATGCTGATGTAAGAGTTTTCCAGAGATAGTTTGATGGACAATTCTGGCTGTTAAATTTGTGGCAGAAATCAATGAGGGAATCCAAGTTTTCGGTCCAGATGTCATCTATGTATCTTTGTGTATCCTAGGAACCCACACTGTTTTGGTGGGATGGTTATTTAAAGTCTTTTTCTTGAGGTGACTCATGAATAGACTGATATCCTCGTGTTTGGACACAAGCACTTTGTTCCTTCCACTTGCATCTGTAGTTTGGTGAGGATGAACTCATTGTGGATGAAGAAATAGATGACATTAATATCTATGACAGTTAGAAGGCTGCTATCACTCCAAGTCACCTTCCCATTGTAGCACGCTTATGATGATAACACAAAACATGGTGCTGGTAAGAAGATTATGACACAGTGATCCTGGAGAAGTGCTTTTGAAGAAAGCTGTTTTCATATGCAACGATCTACTTAAAGATATTAGGAGGAAGTTTTTCACACAGTGGGTGGTGTCACACTGGCACAGGTTGCCCAAGGAGGTTGTGGCTCTGGGCAGTCTAGTCTAGTGGTTGGCGACCCTACGCACAGCAGGGGTTTTAAACTAGATGATCATTGTGGTCCTTTCCAACCCAGGCCATTCTATGATTCTCTGGTGTCAGAAGATCCTCACAGCTTCTCAGTCAAAGTCTCCTTGAGTTTCCTCCTGTAATAATCTGGAAAACCACATGAAAGTCTTAAGGTGGTAACAGAAGCAATTAGTATTTTTCTTCTTCATTAGGAAGAGACCTGAGCTCCAAAGTGAAAAGTTTCCTGAGTTCTTTCACATATGAAAAACATGAAAAAAATAGTCTATCATCTTTACTCATGTTATTCTGACTTCTACTTTATCAGCCATTTAGTAATTGGCAACTGGATCTTAAAAACAACACAGACTCTTAAAAAAAAAAAAAAAAGGTACAAATTAAAAAAAAATAATAATTCACTATTATTTCCTCTCACTAAGAACAAAAACCAAAACAACAGTTAATATAGACAAAGACAACATTCATCCAGTATGGGCTGTCTAGAGGAGCATAATTTGAAGATTATTCTAAAAGTCATTTTCCAGGAGATGATAGGTTCTTTCTTTTGTTTTCAGGGAAGTTCTTTGAGACACACGTAGAGAAACATTTTCTCATGTGGTCCTACAGACCACAACGCTAGCAATGTTTCTGAGCAGAAGTGTAAGCATTTGGAAAGAAGAGATAGAAGAGATAGAGGAGGCCACTCAAGGTTGGGCTATTGCTCCATGACTTCCTGGGGGGTGATGTTGGGAAACAGGTGCTGTCACCATCATTTCTCAGATGTGTCTCATAGTTGGTGAAGTAATTTTTACTGCAATATTTAACACAGTGTTAAATGATGTCAGCTTATTTTGATAGTAATTTGTTGCTTGGTGGTTTAGTATATTTCGGACAGTTTTCTTTAATTTCTTGGAGCATGTAATCATGTCTGCTTCCGGAGGTGAATTTTCACAGTTTCTTAACATGCAGCCCTAAACAGGATATTCTGTCATGTAGCAAGAGCCAAAAAATAACCTGGTTTTTTTTGTTGTGTTGTTTTTTAACAGTATGAATGACTTACATGGATCTGTGTTAGTCTTCCATGTTCACCAATGCCTGATCTGCACTTCAAATCACTTGCTTTTATGTCCAGCCACAGGGCTGCAAATACATGTAGCTCGCTCCAAAAGCAGTGCCTTCTATGTATTTTTATGGAAACTACAACTGATACAACAAGCACACTAGCACTATTTGGTAGAGCAAATTCTCAGCTATAAAACGTTATTTTTCAATGTGGTCACCACATTAGCTGTGCATTTTTTTTGCCAGCTGTGAGTAACAGCCTGCATGCCACGCTCCTCAGCTCCTCAGCTGAAACGCACCATCCACTGCCTCACCGCGCTCACATCCAATGTTTGCTCTGCATAAGCGCTCAGCAAGCGTTCATGAATGTCAGTGGGTGCCATTTGTTTTGCATGGAGGAATTCAGAGTCATGGTTCTGCTTCGTCTGCATTTCCATGTCAGGCACCATTTTGTCAGTGCCCCTCCACTGCCATCTGTCACACGGCAACAAAACATAATGGAATATTGATGGGAAGGTTCAACCTCTACTTCCACACTACCAACATTTGGCATCGAGGGCCATCATAACACAGTAACTTTTGGAGCAGCCCTTGTATCTGAAGACCCTTTACAACAAGCACCTCTAAAAGGATTATGAGAACTTCAGGACTTCCTTGTCTGTTTTGGACAGAGCGAGCCAACACAGTTTGGTTTCGTTTTAACCTGGCCTTGTTGGAGGATGAGTTAAGACACTGTAGAAGCTGACAGCCCTTTGCTCCACGCACTGAACTGGGCAAACCGACCATCGGAGAGACCGACGGCGGGTCCGTGTTGGGGCGGGTACATAGCGAGCTTAGGGAGGGAAGGGGGCGGTGAGGAAGGGTGGCGGCGGCGGCGGCGGGAGGGCGGGTCGCACCGCCTGGGGCTGATTGGCCGCCCAGTTCATAAGAGCTTCCCGGCCCGGGGCGGCGAGGTTGTTTGCCGAGGCCGGGGTGCTCCGTGGAGCCGTGTGTGGAGCCGACCCAGCGGAGTGCCCGCGGCGCCATGCGGCGCGCCAGCCGAGACTACACCAAATACTTGCGCGGCTCCGAGGAGGTGGGCAGCGGCACCGCCCACGAGAGCGCCCCGCCGCCGCCGCCAGCGCCTCCGCTGCCGCCACACCCGCACCCGCCGCCCGCCTCGCGCTCGCTTCTGGCCGCCCTCGTCCTGTTGGGGCTGGGACAGGTGGTCTGCAGCGTCGCCCTCTTCCTCTATTTCCGAGCTCAGGTAAGCGGCACCTCTGGCTCGCTGAGAATACGAATGATGGCAATAAGCGAAGGCAGAGACTTGGTCTGGTTCTTAGAGAGGCGGTGTGTTGACCCAGTGACCTCAGCTAAAGGTGGGGTGCGTAGAGTTGTGTGGGTAGGTGTGAGTGGTTCTCAGGGTGGATGGCAGCTCTGTGCTTCCCCTCCATCCAGCCCTGGGAGAGCTTTGCTTGTGAAGGCTTCCCTTCCAGCCCATGGGGAGGCTTTGGTTATTGATGATCACTTTTTGGTTGGAGATTTCCTGAGGCCTTCGGCTGTCATACAGGATTCACCAGCGCGAGAAGCTTCTTAGAGGTGGATAGCAAACAGAAACACATCTGGGATGGTGTAGCTCTTAGCTTGGGCTGAGACACCTAGGAGTGGGATCCCCTGCGTGCCTGTAGGTGAGCCCAGCCAGGCTGCAGGTCTGTTTCAGAGGTAAGTGGCCTCTCAGAGGGCACAGGGAGATGCTGCTGCAGGGTGGAGAGCTGCTGAGTGGTTTGGGTTTTGGACAGTAAAGGAGCCCACTTCTTGGAAACAGCTGGGCTGGCTGCCTGCATCCCCTTGCCCTGTGCTACTTGGCCTCCACAGAGGAAATGGGGGGCTGCAGGGTGTTTGCTTCTCGGGGCCAGGTTGTGGGTGCCTGCTTGGCTTCTCATCAGTTGTTCACTTGTTCTGCTAACGCAGGTCTGGTGGCCTTCGTAGAATTATTGCTGGTGTTATTTTGTGCTTTCTGTTTGAAGTTAGTGGGAGTGAAAACCGGTTTCTTCCGGTTGACTTTCTAGGTAGATGTGCTTGATCTTGATGTGGCAAAGGCAGGCTGGATTTCTTAACAACGTGCACTCTGAAAATAGCTGTTGCACAAGCATGTCTCCACTTAAGCAGATGAACAGTTGTCAAATAGATAATGACAATGCTGGTCATTTATTACGTGGACTAACTCATATTCATTACCTGTGGTGCCTTTATTTGCTGCTTTTACAAAAGCAAAATGTATGCGCTCTTGGAGCAGTAGTATGGTACTTAATTGATCATATCCCATACACTTCAAAAGAGTGACATTTAATTCATGGAACTTGTAGTAAAGTAGCTTACAGCTACTTGTTTACCTGACAGTGTCACAAATTAATGCCTACTTCAGTTCATGGCAAAGTGCTTTTCACTCCAGATCTGCATGAACTTGCAGAGACATCTTTTTCAAAACGTGGCTCATGGAAATGCACAGCTTCACATTGGTGTACTAGTGAGCCATTGCAATCAAAATAATTAACACAAATACACTTTTTGAATCCCTGTATTCCTGCTCTCTTTCTCCCCTCGTTGCCCTTATTCTGGATTCTTTCAAATAGGTTTGTGTCAGTGCTTCACACGTGCCCAACAAAGTGTAAAAAGAATTTTCATACCATAAAAACTATGCTTGTTTTGCTTCCTTTATTTTAAAATTTACATAGTCTGGTGTAATTCTGCTTTTGGCAGTCTCTTTCCACTTTTGGGTTCTTATAAGTTTGTAGTAGTGTTGTTGGATGAGATCATTTGAAATGTGAAGTTCTGAACAGACTCAAAGATGTAGCTAGATGTAGATTTGACTGAAACCTTGCCTGCAAACTTTCTAATGGTGAAAAAAAAGTCTTTGCCACCACTGAAAAATAGACTATAAGCGTACTTTTGAAGCGGGTAATTCACAATAATAAGATATGATAATCTATACTTGTTCAATTTCTTATTGTATAATAACACAGATGGCAGAGAAAGTGCTATAGATCTTGGAGGATTCTTATTTAACTGCCTTGCCAATTGTTTTATTTGTATGGGGCACTATCTGCTTAGTTTTGAAAAATACGCTGTCAAATCTAATTGCATTAATCTATCTGCTCTTAAATTTCATTATCTAAATTCGCACTTTTTTAATAACAGAACTAAAGTACTGTGGTGTATTTGATTAAAAAATGATGGAAAGTTAATAGTAGAAGTAGTGCTTCATAAGATATGAATGGGTTGGTGGGCTAACCAAATGTGAATTAGCAAGATTTGACTTTGTAGGTTCATAGTGAGAATTTACATGATTAAATGTGACTTATACATAAAACTCTAAGAGGCTGAGTAAACTCTGACTCAGTTTTACCATACACTTCTTTATTTTCATTTGCATAAAATCATTTGGGCCGGATCATGACACAATATGAGCTGAGACAATGATTGAGGTTTTGGTTTTTCCTTAGTTCTGTTTATGTTGTGGTTTGAGCATTTGGAATTTCACAAGACACAAAACTAAGGCTGACACCAGATTTTTCATGAGTAAACATGTTTGTGGCCAAGAAATAACGTAGCCCAACGGTGAATGAGGCAAGGAGCTGGTATATTTGCTTAAAAAAGAAAAAGCTAGGAGTTGAATGCTGCCAATATTCCAGCAGTGACATTCTGAACTGTGAAAAGATAAAGGCTTTTCTTTTTTGGAGCATCTTGTGCAAAGTTCTGAACCCAGGGAATTAAACGCTGACAGAATGTGTTGCTCCTGGTATTTATTTTTGATGACGCTTTGTGAGAAATGTTTGCTCATGGTCAATGAGAACGCAGTCAAAATTTAGTTAGATAGTCCATACAGCTGGAGATGATGGAGACTTGGGCACAGCACAAGGTGGGAGCGCCATGTGTTTTACGTAACTTACTTTGTCACCTAGCAATGAATAGTCTTCAGAAGCTCTTCTATGTTTTTCATGCTGATCTATTTCCTTACTGTACTTAGGTCGTACAGTGATACGAACTGGGTTTAATGCTGACTGAACCAGTGGGCCCTGAAACAAGCTGGAAGCGCTCAAAGCTAGATTTGGAGGTCGGGTGTCAAGCTCTTATAGTTTAACCTGGAATTCTGAGCTTATTTATTTTTCTCCATTTGGGAAAGTGGTCTGTACAAATGTTAAGCATTCTGCTGCACCATTCACATTTAGATAAATGGGGATCTGGAAGACAGATTTTTATTACCATTTCATACATCTGTGGTATTCTGACTTCTGCTGCAGTATTTTTAAACAGTCTCCTTTCAGGCTTCATCTAAAATCTGTTGGCAGTGACTAACAGCAAACCACTTGCTAGAGGTCACCAGCACTTTCTGGAAGCCTGGAAGAACCTTTTCTTGGTAGTTAAGAAAAATAATGAAGTGTAAACTGATATGATTAAACTGGAAGTTGGTTTAAGTTATGAAAACAAGGACAGTATAAATGGCTTATTTTAAGGAGAAAGTACAGAATGTGGTACTGTTGGAAAAAAAAAAAGGCAATATTTCACTTATTAGATTGGTTGGATTGTATTGTTTTTCAAAACGAAGTGGACTTTTGTTATAAAATTGGCTCTTAATTCTAGAAATTCCTCTGGTCTCACCCGCGGTATTGGAGTTTATTTTTACTGTTTTGACTGCCTTGATTGACCTGAAAGGAGTTTAGAGGTGCAATTAAAATGATTGGAGATCCTGGGAAATGTTGGTATCGCAGGGCATTGAATGATGAGATCTCATTTCAAGGTCAGACACAGTAGATGGGCGTACAAATACTAGCATGGTTAAAATAATGGATGTTCTCTTTAAAGAGGGTAATATATTTAGGATATTGAGCTTCCTTAACATGTCATAAAGCTTTCTCCAGTACTGTTGATGGTGTCTTGATGCTTCCAAGTTTGACATCTTTAGATCTCTGTGCTGAAGGTCTCTGTTCAAGGGCTGCCCTCATGTTCCTTGTGAGCTAGCAAGCTGCTCTCTGTAGACCATTCCAGTATTTCATTTTGAGTCTTTGGAATATCTCCTCAGAATGTGTGCTTGAAAGTTGTTTGTTGTTGTTGCTTGTTGTCCACAGCAATGGTTTTGGTGCTCAGTATTGCTGTTCACATCTATGGCAGCTCAGTGGCAGGCTTCCTGAAAGTATCTGTTCAGAATAGCAAGCTAATTTCCATGGTTAAGTTGTGAAGACTTGAGTATTCTTTGAAAATGTTCAAGGACTTCCAGGTAGATTAGCTAGTTCCATGATCAGAGCTTTGCCTTATCAGGCACAAAATCTCTGGATGCTTGTGGTTCATCAGGGTGGGTTACACAGCTTCAAAATAGGATGCCGAAGCCATCCGTGTTTCCATTAAGCCTTCAGTCTTGTAACTGAAGGTGCAGAGATGTTGGTTTTTCTTTCTCAAGCCTTCAGCAGATAAGCTATGATCTGAATAAGTGCCTCTGCACTTGCTACTGCTATCCTGGCAGCATTGTGAGGCATATTTAATTACTAATGGGTGATAGCTGGATGTCTGTGCTATCTGCAGTTTGTCATGATGGATGTTCATGCCCTTAATGACAAATGATCTTTCATAATCTCTTCTTTAAAACCTAGTTTTCTTGCCTGCTTTTCAGAAGATGTGCTTAAATGCATCCGGAAAGTGTTGTAATAGTTTCTTACCAGTAGTATTACTGATGAAAGTGAGTATAAAAAGTGATTTAGTGGTGGGTTGTTAGAATTAGGGTAGTATGGTTATGTTGCACTTGGACTTGATGGTCTTTAAGGTCTTTTCCAACCTGAGCAGTTCTATGATTCTCTCTGCTGTCAGTTATCTGTTATGGCTCTCTCTGCTGTCCAGTGGTGTGTGTGGAATGGAGAAGACTTAGATATCAACATTACGTTGAAGGCACTGATTCCCTCAGGTCTTTGTTAATACCAATAGAAGAGGATACATCTGGAGTAGTGAACAGGAGACATATCAACAAACTGGATAGAGTCTATCAGATGACCACTGCTATAAGGAGGGGCTGTTGCATATCACGAATGTGGAACTGGATTCTTTCAACCTAAAGAACAGACTGAGATGGAGTCTACCCACTGTTTCTGGCTACCTGAAGTGGGATTGTATAAATGGTGAAGCTAGGGTCTCCATAAGTGCACAGCAAAACCAAGAGGCACAGTCTATAAACTCCAGTAAGGAGAATTCCGGCTGCACATTGTTTTATAGCTTTACACAATACAAGAGGTTAAATTGTAGAGCACTTTGCCTGAAGAGATTGAATGGGGAGGTGCCATAAAGCTTTACTTAAGCAAGGCTTCAAACAGCCTGCCCTAAGTTAGAAGTTGGTCATGCTTTGAAGAAGGGACTGCACCTTTCTATGTACTGTCCAACCCAGATCATTCTGTATTGACTGCCTTTTAACAGCTGATGGTGGTCATTGTGTGCTGCTGTTTTTTCCCTCTCCCTGCTCCATTTGTAGTTGAATCTCTCGGCTTCTGGATACTTGTGGAGCCTATGGGGAGAGAGAGTTTTAGGTTGCACTTGTACGGTCATTGAAGCTCATGCTGCCTACCTGCTCCTTCATGCCTGTGCCTGTATTGGCTCTGATGCTTTTCTGACACTTGCAGGAAGTGGCTTCTGGGTGCTCATCCTTCAGGAAACTAGATCAGCAGGAAATCATCCCTGGTACTGGTTTAAAGAGAAGATTGAGAATCAGAAGCAGGATTTCATGGTGAAGAAGGTGAGGGCCCAGAGATGCTCTTTTAGATCTACTTGAACAGTTAATGGGGCTGCACCAGCTGCTTTCTTAGTTGTTAGTGCTCAGTAGAGTTGTAATAGCAACTCTATAATAGAGTAATAGCAGATTTTCTTTCGCATTCAGTTGTATCAGGCCACCCCAGGAAGATGTTAAGGCCTCCAGGCCATTGTGTAACTCATCTCAACCACTGTATTCAAAGCTGTGGCATCTGCTGATCTTCAGGGGAGCCTTTACTGACCTGTTCATTTCCCAATCTGCAGGGATAAGTGAGACAGCTAAATGATCTCATGGAGGCTGGCATTGATTTGAATGAATGGGCAAACAGCTCTTGTGGAGCATTCAGTGAGTGGATGGTGATAGAGAAGGCAATTTGCTCTGAATGTTGCTGCCTGTGCAACAAATTTCTCTGCAGCGTGTGCATGTTGGATAGATTGCTGCATGCTGTAGACTCAAGTTTACCTTTGTAATCCCACCTTATGGTTTTAAGTCAGGTTAGTTTTTTTTGGGGTGGGTTAGGAAATTCAATCCCTGTTCATGTGAACAACTGATACAACAAATCTGATTCATTCTGGATGTTTTGCATTCTGCAAAAGCTCCTTTTGAAGCTCTGCTTTGTTCAGTGCTGTGTTAAAAGGAATTGATCACTGGTTTGGTGTTATCCTTAATGGATAATATTCCCTCATCATGATTATTTGCAATATTGTGATTCTTAGCTGTAAATTGTTTTGCTCATATGTCGTGGAAAACAGTAGAATCAACTCTTTGAAAGAGTAGATAGCAGCAGGACAAGGGGAAATGGTTTTAAGTTGAGGGAGGGAAGACAGATTGGATGTCAGGGGGAAGTTCTTTACTATGAGAGTGGTGAGGTGCTGGCACAGGCTGCACAGAGAGGTGGTGGATGCCCCGTCCCTGGAGGTGTTCAAGGCCAGGTTGGATGGGGCCCTGGGCAGTCTGGTCTGTTATTAAATGTGGAGGTTGGTGGCCCTGCGTGTGGCAGGGGGGTTGGAGATTCATGATCCTTGAGGTCCCTTCCAATCCTGGCCATTCTGTGATCATTGTGGTCCTTTTCAACCCAGGCCATTCTGTGATTCTATGATTCTATACGTTCTTATTAGACTGGCAGATACAATTAGAGACCTCAGAGCAAGTTTAGACTGTGCAAACCCTTCTGATGTGAAAGCAGGATACATGCCAAGACCAATTGCTGAAAGCCTTAAGCTATCTGTGAAAGAAAATGCTTAATATCTCTTAAGTGTAAGGTATATGGAAAGGGGGAGAAAGGATGAAATGGCTTTAATAAAGTTTGTGCAGTTGAACTCTGCCAAGGCACAGTCTTGATCCTTGGAATATCTTTCTCAGTCATCTAACTGGTAAGACTCAGGAGCATTGAACTTACAGTTTAAAAGTATATTTGATTCAGTTACAGAAATTAATTGCTAAAAGCATCTTGCAGATATTTCAGATTTACTAAACTTTGTCCAGATTTACTAAACTTTGACAATACTAAACTACTATTTTGTAGTAGTTTTATTGTCTTTTGATCTTCCTGAATTTGTAGCATCTCAGCAAGTGCTTCGTGCAGCAATACATCTTGCCTGCAAAAGTTTTTGGTAGCTGGTTTCTGTACTTCTTTCTCCTCTTGGAAAGGATGATTTAGATATTGCACATACATTCCATAGGTTGCTGCTCTTGACATCTGTGTGTCATCTTACAAACTGGTATTGACAGAGGAGATGACTGTGTATGTTGCCTGCTAAAGTAATTTTGATGTTGCATTCAGTGGTCTAAACTAAACATGGAATTCATTATTATTGATTTTTATTCTAAAGATAGGGCTATTCTTTAACCTTAGAAAAGTCAAGTATCCAGTCTAAGCTAATGAGCTGAGTCGCTCCAAAAGATAATCTGTTCTTCTATCTTACATGACTGTTGGATGAAGTAAACCTTCCTATGGAAAACATTTTCTCTCTTCATTTCTTAGAATGAAACGTTAGATGATAAACAGAGCTAATTGCCAGAATTTTGGATGTTTGAAAATCCTGCCTGACTTGAATGTTCTTATTGCTTATCGAACAGACTATTTAAACTGTGGCTATCTTATATTTTTGTTTCAGATGGACCCTAGTAGAATTTCAAAAGAAGATGCACACTGTGTCAGAATGCTTTTCAGATCTCAAGAGAGTATAGACATGCAAGACATGCCCTTTGAAAATCAAGAGGTAAAGTTAATGCCAGAACCATGCAGAAGGATGAAGCAGGCTCTCCAAAGAGCTGTGCAGAAGGTAAGTGGCAGATAATGCTTTCCTTTATTTTGTACTCTTGGTAAATCTAGCACAGTGTCCAACTTCTGCGTACAGAGGTAAGACTGCTTTGTTTGATTGATATCTGATGCTGTGTGTGAGATCCTAATGTATTTGCTTATGAACCTGTTGCTGGTTAACCAATTCAAACAGGTTTTAGTTTTGCTAGAGAAAGTCTTGAATACACACTGAGGAAACTAATCACAGTTGATTGGCCATTCTGACTTTTGGGGGGGAGTCTGTGTGGTAGTTGTTAAGAAGGGCAGTTCCACTTCTTTTTTTTCCACCCAACCTGATCTTCCTGACTCTTCCTGAGAGGATTCTCCAAGCCAAGAATATTTGCAAGCAAAATACTGTCTGGAAGATGGAAAGGACAGTATGTGTTCTCATTTGCTCTTGTTTCTTAAACTTTCTGGAGTGCAATAATTTTGCCTACTCAGAATGAAGGGGTATCTCCTTTCCTTTTTTTGCTCACTTGCCCAGTCATTGCGTGCAGACATTCCCCTGGTGATGAAAGAGCTGCTTTGCCATACTGTGATAAGTAGGCAGGTTCTGCTCAGCAGGGGAGAATGACAGTGTTTCTCAAACTCAAATAATAAAAGTGAATTTGCCTTAATAAAAAAAACTAGGAGAGCTGACACTGACACAGTCACCTCTTATTGCAGTAGGGCTATTGTAGGCTATTTAAGAAGCTGAAGTGCTACAATTCTTGGTTTTCCTGGTTTACCTGGTCTGTTACTTTCACACATCTGCATTAGACTGTCAGTTTTTTTCATAAAGGATACTCTATTAGATTTGAGCTGAACTCGTGCACTTTACAGAGTGTACTTGAGTTAGTTATACACTGCTTTAGTTGTGGATGTTTCCTTTTAATAGAGTACTACGAGTGATAGATCTTCAGAACAAAACTTTAAGGAAGATGGGTGCATGCTACCTTCTTTAAAAACTCAGAAAAAATGGATTAGCTCATAGGATTTGTTCATTCTTTCAGCATTTTTTAGACTCAGACTCTACCCTTACTTTTATTTTCTGTGCACTGATGCTAGAGTGCTGTTTCAAGCAGTTCCCTTGGCAGTAAGGAGCTTGTTACTGTAAGTGAATGGGAAGCTCTGTGTTCTGGTCATTTGCTGCTGGTTACTCAACAAAAAAATTGACTTCAGTGGAGGCTGCATATCCTGCCTTCCAGCATAGAGGTTAAATGCTGCAATGTCAGTGGCCAAGATAAGTAGTGAGTAGGATAATTTTTTTTTGGTCAATGACCATTAGTTCGAGAACAATAAGGTTTTCTCTGCCAAAGTAATCGGACTGGAATTTTTGAATGCAACAGAATGTATTAAGTAGCTGGGGCAGTGTTCTGGATGCTTTGTCATCACACACTGATGACAGAAAAATAAAGATGGGCAAATGTTTGCCTGGGGTTACATTTGCATCTTCTCTATTTTTACTTCAGAAATGAAAGAAATGTTAAAACAGAATTATCCTTGGTGGTGTTCTGTAAGCTATGCCTGTCATTGGTTCTGCTATAGTGAAAGGCAGAGGTGTAGCTGAATGTTATCTCCAGTATGGCTAGTCCTTTGTGTGAGAATGTAGCCTATGTGACTGGAAAAATGTTTCCTATTTTCTCTATTTAGTTCACTTTCCTGAAGGAGAATCTAACCTGTGTTTTAAGAACAAGTATCCTTATTTGCATTGGCAGTATATTAGGTGACTGAAGTGGAGCACTTCAATAGTTGTGTGATTTTTTTTTTTTTTCTTTAATTGTTTGACTTTTGCATTTCAAACTGTTCAGGAAATGAAAAGAGACAACTTTTTTTTTTTTTTTTTTGCTTAATTTTATAGTCTGGTTACAGCTTTTAGCTTACTACACTGATTCTCATCTGTTTTGTTTGTACACCTGTAGACAAGTGTTTAAAGCAGAGATTCATGTTGCCAATACTCTTACAAAAAAACAGTGTAGTTTTTTTTTTTTTGCAAGGTCAGATCTAGAAATGTCTCCTGAAAAAAACATTCCAGAAAAAAGAAGCTGTTTAGGGAGCAGCTTACTCAGTAGAAAATGCACATTCAATATTATTGCATATAAACTTTCAAGCAGACAAATAATATGCTTTCCTAGTCTTTGTTTGCTCTTTTTTTTTTTTTGTATATAACCCTAAAAACCCTTTGGCAACCCAGATGCACTAACCACATTTCTTATGAAGTCTATTATGTGTCTGAAGTAGAAAGGACTACAAACATATCTTGGGTCAGTTCATGAGTGTCTTTTTTTGGCTATCTTCCCAGCTTTTAGCTTCTTGGGGAGTACAGGCATAAACTAGTCCCCTCCATGGCAAAAAAAGCACTTTGTTGGTAGACCTCCAGGGCAGAACTTATAAAGAGATACATATTTTTAGCAGACGTTTCAAGTGCATGTGGTTAGGGACAAACTGAAGGTTTTATGGGTGACTGTTTTAAGTTGACAAAATTTCAATTTCCATACTACAACCTTTTACATGCCTTTTTTTCTGCAGGCAGTAAAGTACTCATTTGAATAGACGCTGCAGTGCTAATTTCCATCTTCTGAAGAATATTTACTTTCTATTTCACTTCCTTTCTGATTAGCTTTCTTCCTCCGAGTTTCTGACAAGATACTACTTCTTGATATTAACTGAACTTGAAACACTGAGAAAAGAGAAAGAAACACTCACCTAAAGGAGCCTTAGCCTTAGTCACAACTTCCTCAATTTGTGAATATATTAAGGGTCTCTTGTGGTTGGTCTCAAAAGGCAACTTGTAGCTACTCAGAGTAGATCATGAGATACTGTATAATCAAAGAGGAAGAAAAAAACCATTCACAATTCAGTTGTTCTCATGTAGCCTGGTCCAACCTTGGACATAACTGGTGGGAGGACCTGTGGCAGGGAGGTTGGAGATCGATGGTCCTCAAGGCCCCTTCCAACCCAAGCCATTCTGTGACTTGTGTTTTGAAGACCTCACATGCTTGTGTGGTAATAGGTCTGATAGTTGCTTGAGGCTTAAAACCTGCATCCTGTTTTGCATGAGGAAAGAGCAGCTCCAGACACTTCAGACGCTTACAGCATGGTTTTAGCTTTCAAAATTCGGAAGGTTTGCAGCTCCCTGATGGCCTTACAATTTTTTTTTTGAAGTAAGGAATAAGTATTTTTTATTTGACAGATGGCTTGTGTGTTGTTTGAACAGTGATTGTATGAAAGAGGTTGGGATATGGGAAGCAGACCAGCAGAGTTGACACGGTGGGCAGTGAGCAAATGACGCAAAGGTGTACAAGTGCAGCTTATTGGAAGATGATGTGTGGTGTGAGTTTTTTGCAAACACTTGTTCTAAAAATAACTGCTTGGTAGCACACTTTGCTGTGTGCTTCAAAGTCTTGAGAGAATCACTGGTATTATTTTGTCAAGAGTTCTCATGCTCATTCAGTGATGTCTTAGTTACAAGATCTGTTGAGCTGTTTCTGCTTTCTTAATGGTAGCGTGCACTGTGAGAAAGTGTGAGGTACTTAAAGGCATTCAGGTGCTCACTAAGAGGGCATCTGTAGACATTCAGATAGCACAGTCCTTACGTCTTTCAGGATCAGAAAAGCAAGTACAGGTTTAGTTCTTCTATGGCAGGTTGTGTAAGGCAGGTGTCTTGGAACCATAAAAAAATTTTTTTGAAAGTCAAGAACAATTTTGAAGTATATATTCTTCATGAGGAAACCCACAACTCCATCCTTGTTCTTCATTAACTAGTGCCTGCATTTCTCCCAGTTTCTTTCTGGACTCCTAGTCAACTGGAGAGAAAAAAAATTAGAATTTTGTGGGGCTGTTCAGAATTAAGTAAAAAGCTTGGCACTGGTGCAGGCTTTGGAGAAATCTGCTGATGGAGGATATTTGTTTTCTGGTCACAGGCTAACTATTGGTAATCCACTGACAGGCACACAAAAGATTCATTCAACATGAGCCAGACTCAGGTGGTTCTTAAGTGTATGAATGTTGGGCTCATTCTTCTCTCCCCTTTTTTTGCCATGATCATGGAATTTGTAGGGTTTGGAAGGGTCCTCAGGAGATCATCTAGTCCAAACTCCCTGCTAATGCATGGAGAGTAGTAGAGACTAGAGTAGTTTGCAAAGAAAAGCATCCAGATGGGTTTCTAATAGCCCAGAGGAGATTCTTAAGATGTTTCTGTGCAATTTTTTCTAGTGTTCTGTTACTCTCAAATTAAAGAAGTTTTTGTTCTTGTTCATATGGAACTTCCTGTATTCCAAGATGATGCTTGCATCTTTCGTTGCATATTAGCCTAGATTCAAGAAGAGTACAAGAGTGTTCCTGTCAAGTCCAGTCTGCAGCTTGGTGACAGTTGCTCCTAAGTAGGAAGAGAGTGATAGGTAGATTGAAAACCATCAAGATGAGGAAGACAGTGGAGTTGTATCTTCCTAGGTAGCTGTTCTGCTCACCAAGTAGTAATATTGCAGATGAAAAAAAAAACACCACTAGTTTAAAAAAAAAAAAAAAAAAAGCTCATACTACATTTTGTGAGGACTGCAGCCTTTCTGCATGGAAGATACGCTGAGTCAGACTGCAAGGTCTCAGAGGGTAGAAGCACCAGCTGCTCAAGCCAGAGCATCTTTGGAAACATGCAGAAACAGAACTCTAGGTTCCTAAGGGAAAAAAAAAAAAAAAAAAAATTGTTTGCAAGAAAGATAGCAACTGCCCAATTCAGGGACTTCAAGGGCTATGCAGTTATCAGGTATGGGATTTCATTTAGTACTATTTTAGATACTAGAAGATTAAAATATATGTCTTCTCGAATCTGTATGACAATCTCTCCAGACAAGTGCATTATCACATCTCCCAGAAATAAAGGATCCTTAAGTAGATTCCACACTCAAAACATCTCCATTAAGAAAGGAAGAAAACAAAGAAGTCTTCCCTTTCTGGGGAAGGTTTGGGGGGAGTTATAGAGCTGTAGTGTCTGAGAGTCTAGTCTATCTCACAACTTTTATCCTATTTTCTCTGGATGAGGTCTTAAAAGGACGCAGTAGATGGGAGCAATCATCTCCTTTGCCCTGCTGGCTACCCTTCTTTTGATGCAGCCTAGGATACTGCTGTCTTTCCAGGCTGAAAGGGCATCCTGTCAACACATTTCCAGTTTCTCGTCTACCAGGATCATTAAATCCTTCTCTGTGGGGCTGATCTCAAGGAGTTCTTCTCAAAGTCTAGGAATGCCTTGACTGAAGTGCAACACCTTGCACTTGGCCTTGTTGAACCTCATTAGGTTTTCTTGTGACAACTTTTTAAGCCTGTCCAGGTCCCTCTGGATGGCTTCCTTCTGCTGTGGTAACTGCACCACTCAGCTTGATGTCATCAGCAGACTTTCTGAGGGTATGCTTGAGCCCACTGTCTTGTTGATAAAGATGTTGAAGAGCACAAGTCCCAAGAGGAGAATGGCTTTAAAAGGTAGGAAATTTAGGATAGATATTACAGGAAATTCCATACTCAGTGGTGAGGCACTGGATCAGGTTGCCTGGAGAGGCTGTGTATGCTCCATCTCTGGAAGCATTCCAAGGCCAGGTTGGATGGGGATCTGGGTAGCCTGTCCTAGTGAGTGACCACCCTGTTCTTGGCATGGGATTTGAACTGAATGATCTTTAAGATCCTTTCCAACCCAAGCCATTCTTTGATTCTATGACTTTTATCACCTTAGTACTTGTGATTTTTTTCTTCTTACTACTTCGTTAGAAGTTAGAGATCAGGTGTGGTTAGAGGCTGATGCTGGTGCACAGCTCCTAGAATTGAGCTTTGCTGCTAGAACTGATGTTGCAGTAAGAAGCTCGGAGAGGGGAAGTGAATCTAAGTGGGGGGAGATGGATGTGGGTTTTGCTGCTTCTGAAGTTGCGAATCTTCTGCTTTTCTTCTTGTCTCTACAGCAAAAAGCATTTTTAATGATTCATATCTACAAAATCAGCATATCTCTGCTGAGGTAGTATGCTTTGATAGTCATACTACAACTTCCATGCTGCTGTGGCTTTCCATTTTGGTTTAACATTTAGACACCTACTGAAAGGAGAAAGAGTACAGCAGAGCTGTTACAGATATCATGGTGACTTTAAAATTACATAAAAGCAGAACTTCAGGTGTTTTCAAAGCAACGTTTCAAATTCTAGAGCATGGCAGTGATAGAGAATACATGGAATATTGCTGATCTGGTCAAATCTGAGGTGTGTTATATATACATGGTTTTGAATTAGATAACCAACAGTACAGGAGACAAAGACAGTACACAGGACCACACAGGTTTCAGTGGTAAGAATATGATTTGCTTTTGTCTGCAGTAAAATGTTTCTTTCTTCTAAGCCTCTTCATGGTGGTTGCATGGTATGGGGTAGTCTCAATAGCAAAGAATATTATCCTTATTTTGTAGGAAACAAACAGGGAGAGTCATGGGGAAATGGGACAGTACTGAGGAATAAACCTAGCAGTGCAAAGCTTCTAACAAGAGCCTGTTTAGATTTTTGAAAACTGCTGTACGTTTTCTCAAGGAGAAAGCAGGGGTGGATTGTTGAAAGCAAGGCTTTCTGTGGTGCCTGATATTTCTGCTGTTCTTGGTTTTGGGTTACATGGACTTCATTCATGTTAAAATTAATCTGCAATTTTAGAGAATGTGCACTTCCAGACTCTGGCACCCAGTCAACTCGGCCCAGTACAAATGTGAAAACTGCTTAATTCTTCAATTTCTGTATACCTTGTTGTAAGTGAGATTTGGCTGCGAAACCTACTAGTCTTGAAACCTCTTCTGTTAGTGGTCAAGCATAAAGGGTGGAGGTTTCACTTACCTCATCATCAATGAAATGCAGTGCTTAGCTTTTCTCAGCGGTGTGATTACATACTAGTCTGGATGCAGAGCTGCCTCTTTCATTACCTTTCAACTGCGAGTAATTAAGTCAATTCATAAGCTCTGTGGTTTTATGGGATATGTTCTTAGCAATCATTGTTACATTATATTTAGTGAAACATTTCAAGTTCCATAAGTGGAAATAGTTGTAAATGTAAATCCTCTAATCACTCTTCCAATAAATGGTGCAGTGATCTTGCAAGCCAGCATTCCTATGATACTGTGTTCTAATTGTACAAACTGCAATGCATAATATTAGAGGAAAAAAAGACAACATCAAAGCAATATATTTTTCTCATTTTAGGAAGTCCAGCGTATTTTGGGAAAAGAGCCACCAAGACCAGAAAAAGGTAGGTGTTGGTTTATGAATGAGAAATAAGATTTTAATTCTAAGCTTATTTTTTTCTGATATAATGAAAGTCTTTTTATTCCAGCTGCAATGGAGGCAATAGGAATGGAACTGTACAGGAGAAATAAGCCAGAGAAGCAACCTTTTGCCCATCTCATTATTGATGATAAGAATATTCCAACTGGTAAGTTTAAAGCGAATACTTCTAATGCTACCATAAATGAACTCAATTACTTTTTGTTAAGTGTATTGCTCTTCTCCTTTATGCAACCAAACCAAAAGGGAAGCTCTGTTGAGGCCTGAAATCTGAGATTTTCAGCAGTCTATTCTGGAGACAACAGAGGAAGCTGAAGGAGTCAGCTTTTTGCCTGGAAGGATAGGATTCTTTCTCCCTCCAAGTGCATTTTCACTGCTCAAATCTAGAGCTTAATAAATGGGGAGCCTGGATTTTGATTTTACTTGTACTGATGTGCATTGCTGCATTAACTTTCTAGGTAATTAACTAGCATTAGGGCAGGGGAAGCATTGCTCTTGTTCTCTTTGTTTTCTTTTTTCAGCACAAACTGTAGGAGCTCTTAGAAGTATAGTGCCAGTAGTAAAACAACTTTGTTTCTCCTTTGAGCAAGTCAACCCCTTGCCAGTGCAATGAGTTGAGCTCATCTGGCACATGGGTTGTGTCCTTTGGTTGGAAGAGTGTTGCCAGACATTAATCATGAGGACAGCTTCTGCTGATGCTGTGAGCATTGCATCAGTGAGGTACTGCATCCTTATAGATAGCTGGAACCACGAACCTTCTACTGATTGTAAGGCACTTTGCTGTCTTATCACTTTTCACTACCCACTTAATTGGGTGGCATAGAGGTTCATGACAGAGATTAAGGATGAAGGATTTGCTTATGAGTCACTAGGTTTTGTTTTTCCCTACCCTGTTTTCTTTGACTGCAAATTTCTATTTTCTTCCCACGTTTCCTTGCCCTACATGTCTTCTAAATTATTTTATGCCATCTGTGAGTCTTAGCAGATTGGTTTTCAGCATTTTAAGTTCTTTGTTGTCATCAGTGACCCAGAATGAGCAATGTCAGGAAAAAGAATCAGTTTTGTAACCATCAGACAGGGTTGAGTAGCCTGCAAGTGAACACCCACCATAAATAAGGACTGAATGTGTTCCATCCACCTGGTTCACAATAACTAAAAACCCCAGATGGACTTTTGCAGTTGAGGAATGTCAGGGAAGGGAGTGGAAATAACCCTTCTTAGATCTTGGTATCCCACCCATCATTTGACTGCAGAAGCCATGGTGGTTTTGTTTGCAGCATGTATTTTTTATGTTTGTTGCCTTAGGCTAAAGCTAGTTGCTTGCTGGTTACTTTTTCCAAGAGCTTACTTTAAACCTTACCTAAGTTTTAAAAGGACAACAGTGAATTTTGGTTTATAAATTGATTATAGAAATTAGTCACAGTTTAAAGGAGAAGAGCACAAATGTAAATAGATGTAAATGTTAAATATATCATTTGGGATGTGAATTGGTACCTTTAACTGTCTAAGGAAACAGTGTAGTATTTTGAGCTATTTACAGCTACAGGTTTGGCTTCACTACTGCTTGCCTCCAGAAAAGGTTTTTCAGAGTAGACAGAACTTTAGCTCTTTCCTCAGGCTTTATTTATACCTGAATGCTGCTGCAGTGCAAAGGAGTAATGAATACTGTGTTTTGTTCTTCCGTTACCCTTCCATCATCATCTTTCTTACTAATTAATTCTACTGGAACTCAATTATGTTAGGTTCAGTTCATGCCTGCTGACATCTCAGATGTCGTCTAGATTTATTTTTTTGAGTAACCAGAAAGACTGTAAATTATCTTTTTTAATGCTTGTTACCATGTCTGGAAGGTTACCTTAGTCATTATCTTTGACTTCTGCCTTTTCTGTCAACGTAACTTGTCTTGTTATTTTTCTATGGCTCCATTGTAAGTTTTGTCTCAAAACATACTGTGTTACAGCAATTCTGACTGTCCCATAACATGGGATTATTATGTTTTAGAGTTTCAGTCACAGCTGACTTGGCATTTGTACACCCTGGTTTTCTCCTCTGCCTGTGTTTTGGGATATTTATTTTGGTGTCTCCAGATTTGGGTGTGTTACTCCCTGCAGTCCTGAGAGCCTGCTTAAAAATTGCATGCATCTTTGTGCTCTGTCACTGGCTGTGCTGAGCCTCTTAGAGCTCTGAATTGTTGCAAAACATCCATCTACCTTGGTTAACATAGTCTTAGCATTTTAATCTAGGTTGAAAGAGGCTTCTAGATGTCATCCATACTAATCTCCTGCTCAAAGCAAGTCTAATTACATCAGTAGACAAGGTCATCCTCCATCATGTCTTGGTCTGCCTTTCCACCTAACCGTGGATGAATGATATGTGTTGCTCTCAGCACTGGAGTGTGAACCAAATTTCACCCATAGTTGCCTTCAGCATCACAAATGCAAGTGACTAAGGCACCTATTTTCCATCTTCCCCTTTCAGCAAATCATGCATTTTCCCTGAGGACTTCTTTAGAATTGCTACTTAGTTGTTGAGTCTGGCAACTAAAAAGTTTACTGGCAGGTAAATGAAATCTGCATGTAAACTTATTGGTGTGCCAGCAGTCAGTCACAGTATGCTGGCATGCCTTTCTGCTTGGTCGAATGTATACATTCCTGTTCAGATCTCTGATGTACTTCTGTCCTTTTCCAGTAATGTAGGCCCTAATTTCTTACCTATCTTCCTCATTTTCAGGGTAGCCCAAGTTTCTTGGGGTAGTATTTCTGATAGGCTCAACACTGTGTAAAAGAAGTCCTACAAAACTTCTTCAGCTATCAGTAGTTCTTCTGAGATGGGCTCTGGTACCACTTCCTCAGCATTCTCTTGCAGTTGAATAATTCCAGGATAAGAGACTTAGTTGATTGATTCCAGAATTCTTTAGAAGTACTACACAGAATAAGGCTTATCTCTGTATGAATTTGTTTGGATAATTTCTATTTGGCTACACTGGAGCAATAGGGGAACAGCTATATATGTTCTGCTATTAAAGCCTGTGCTTTGCAGAATTTTTTGTGGAGGGATACTGGAAGGTTGTTTTTTTTTTTTACTCTGGACTGCCATTAAAGTATTGCATTCGCACGCAAAAGTCACTTGTCCTTGGCAATTAGACTCGTAGCTCTCAAATTCCCCTGTCTCTCCTTACCCTCTCTTATTTATGCACAAACAAATCCAGGAAATGTCTTTAATCAAATGTACCTGAGGCTGTTTCCCAGGATGCTTGTGAGCACTGGCAGTTCTCTGGGTGTGCCTGGGTACATGCTTGGAGCACACCAAGTGGCCTTGGAAACTTTAGTGGAAATAGATTGCTTTGGTTTGATGTGGAGAAGATAGGGTACTGAATGTTCCTATCAGGCAGGTAGATGCACTGGGAGCCAAAGATTTACGGTTCACAGATGCCTGTGCATGCTATGGTTTAAACTGCTGCTATGGTTTAAACAGAAATGGTTTTTGTTTGGAGGTTGGTAGTGGTTAGGAGAGCAAGTTGTCCAACTTCTATCTGTTGTGCTGTGCATTACGTGTCTTGTGAATGAATAGTAAGTTGTAGTGGCTGTTCCATTCCGTGATGCATCTCAGGAAGAGTCAGGGCCTGTGTGTCTTCCCCAGAATGGTGCTGGTGTTCCTCTGTGTGGACATGTCCATGGATCTTCTACACCTCCTATTGCCTGTTCCTGTTTTTTTTCTTCCTGAGAGCTGAGGTGGGTGCTAATAGAATGGTGCTGGAACTGAGGAGGTGCAAGGGAATGTGAGGTTTATACTATGGGAGGTGTTCCTCATTAGAGCAGTGTCTCTGCACAATACATATGCCGAAGTAGCCATGCTGCCTGGGCTGATGTTTCAGTCTGCTGCTTAACACTGACACTAAAACCAAACTGAGGTGTCAAATGTGATGATGTTTGAAAGGAATGCTCCTCCTGAATCCCTCAAGACATCTCTTAGCTCAGTAGGATCTAAATGAAATGACCTCTGAGACTTGACCAACTTGAAACCTCTTACAAGTGTGGCTACTTGAGGACAGCAAACAGGAGGTGCCTTTCAGACCAGAGTTCCTGGAACACATTTGCACCTGTACATGTGAAGTTGGCATTCAGTGACAGTATAGAGCTGACAAGTCAAACATTTCTAGTGTCTCAGCTACTCTTTCACTCTCTTTACAGAGCATTCAGTCACTTCAACAGTTAAGGGACTTGTTGACCAGCCTCTCATCGTGGAAGCAGAGTAGAGGAGAGTTATATATGTAGTAGTTCAGTAATGCTTGCTTAGATGTGCTCTGTTAATTGTTTTTGGTAATCAAACAGTAACTGTATATTTAGATTCTCATATATGTGGTGCTATGTGGAGAGAGAGGGAGAAATTACAGTGGTTATCGTCTTTCCTAATTTGTGGCTCTCCAGCTTAAGGTAATTTGAGGGGGATTTGTTCTCTAAATGTGGAATATCAATTCATTGTTTCTAGCTGGAATCATCATAGAATCCTGGGTTGAAAAGGACCACAATGATCATCTAGTTTCAAATCCCCTGCCACAGGCAGGGTCACCAACCAGCAGACCAGGCTGCCCAGAGCCACATCCAGCCTGGCCTTGAATGCATCCAAGGATGGGGCATCCACAACCTCCTGAAGCAATGAAAGACAGGCTGTCTAGAACAAAGCTTTTCTATTACTATTAATTAAAAAAAAAAAAAAAAAAGAGGTTTTGGTTTTTAAATGTTGAGCTTTGTGAAATATTTATAAATAATAATTTTTTTCCCCCCCCTCTCTTCAGGAACTCGCAAAGTGAACCTTACATCTTGGCATCATGACAAAGGCCAGGCAAACTTATCAAATATGACGTTCAGTGATGGGAAGCTGATTGTTAATCAAGATGGATTTTACTACCTTTATGCCAACATTTGTTTTAGGCATCATGAAACTTCAGGAAATCTGACTAAAAGAGGGCTTCAGCTGATGGTGTACATGACTAAGACAAACCTTAAAATAAGGCGCTCTGATGTGTTGATGAAGGGAGGAAGCACCAAATACTGGTCAGGGAATTCAGAATTTCATTTTTATTCTGTAAACATTGGAGGATTTTTAAAATTAAAAACTGGCGATATGATAAGTATCCAGGTATCAAACCCATTGTTACTGGATTCATCACAAGAAGCAACTTACTTTGGGGCATTTAAAGTAAGGGATTTAGACTGAATCTTTTAAGTGTACTGAAATATTGGGGGGGTGGGGGCTTGTGGTCCAGACACAACTTGAAGACAGAGATGAAAATCTTTTGCAACGCAATTGCATCTGTATAAAACATATATCTCTAAAGACACGTTTTGCCCTGTGCTGATTCTAGCAACAGTTCCATAAATCAAGGATATAATAATATAGATCTCCTGATTCAGTCTTATGCTAATTTTACTTCCTATGTTTCCATTGGCTTTGGTAGAATTATGATTTTACACTGATTTTACTGAAAGTAGAGCAATTAATATTACTCTGTTTCCACACCCTGACTGTACTTTATAGCCTGTGCTACTCTTGCAAGTATTGGCACAAACAGGGCAGGGCAGAAACTGGCTTCCAGATTGAGTTTGATGCTCAGATTTGCTTGGGGCTGGGTGTTCTGACCCTGAGACAGCAAAGATTGTGAACGTATGACTAATTCCATTGCATTTGATGTGGTTTTTCACATGTTTAGTTAAGCATGTTCTTGCTTTGCTGGATTAAGGTTGGAGCTTTCAAGCCCTGGCAGAAATGAGTTGTACAACACCTAAACAGTTCAAATTAAGTTTTTATCTGACTAAAAGGGCTATTCCAGGAAGGAGGAAGATCATCTGGCCTTGCAGTTCTACAAGGTTAATTACAGGTCATTCTTATTGTTGCACAGCTAATTGCAAATACAGATTGCCAAAGTACAGTATGCCTTTAAAGTATTACATTGTGCCAGAACCTGCAAAGACATTTTTTAGACAAAAAAAAATATGTATTTTTATATTCTGTAATATCTAAAGTTATATTTCAGGTGTAATGTTTTGTGTAAAGAAAAAAAAATGTAAATTATATTGTCCTATAGTATTTGATACGAGATATTTAAATTCTCTTGCTGTTTGTATATTTAATGTTTTATACTGTTTTTAATGTACAGACATGTTAAACTAGTGCACTTTTTAATCCCAATGGGAAAAACTGCAGCTAAAAGAGGTTGTTTGCAATTAGCAAATGTAATATATCTTTGTTCTTTTTAACTTAATAGATTTCTGTTAAACTTGTCAGTATTACTGGGAGGAGAGGAGGGTATTTCACACCAAAATCATGAGTAGTCACACCAGAATGCTGGTCACTGGGTGTCTTTCCAACCTGGAGGGTAATTAACATTACGAAGCTGGCATGACATTAAAAAAAAAAAAAAAAAAAAGCCACAGAAATATATTGGGGGTATTTATAGTTACTAAGCAGGCAAGTTTTCCTACAATGAACTCTGCAAGTTACAAATTCTGTAATGACATTTTTTTTTTTTTTAGCCTAGTTTCCTGAAAAAGTGAAGCTCATGTCATTGCATTGCCTGTCCTTTTCTCCCCTTGTAGCTTTTGAAACTCTGTGCCTTTCTGCCAGATGTGGCGGATGAATGGCAGTGTTAAGAGGTAATCTTACAGGATTTTTGTGAGAACTGACAGCTGAGAAAAACTCAGCCATTTTGCATTATTTGTCAGTGGCTGGCCACTGTTCATATTAGCCAACAATTTAATATGGGGAAACTTCTAGCTAGCCGCTACGTGTGTTGTTTCTTGTATAGTTGCTTGGCTAAAAATGGTAGGTGGTAGGAATCTGAGGGTGGGTATGGGGAATGTAGGGGTTGAGCTGCAAATACTACCAGTGATATTGAGGGCACATCTAGGCAGGGAACAACAGTTGGTGAGGAGGGGATGAGAGAGGATTTAGGAGTGTTTGGGTACTCTTAGGATGATGGGAAAACCTACTGCTCTTCAATGCAGTAGGAATCACAGAAGGCAAAAGGCTCGTCTGTAAGAAATGAGGCTTCATACAAATCCTCAGACTTCTTTTTTTTTTTTTTTTTTATAATTAATGGATTTGAATTCAAGCAATTATTTTATACTGTGTATGTAATAATGTAATAAACATTTCTTTTTAATGTTAATATTGTTTTCTTACAAAATATATTTCTAAGAAAAAAAATGTGTGTGGTTTCTTTATTTCTCTGTGCTTTTGTATTTCATGTACAGCTTTAATAGTTTTCTTCATAATATGCAGGCTGGGTATGGTATGACTCCTTAAGAAAACTGAAGCACAAGTCAACTATTTTGAGAATTGCACCAAATTCTATGGATTCTTGATTTGATTATAAACTTTGGCACATGCATCTATCACTTTCAAGCAGGGTAAGATCAGGTGTTGGAAATATAACTGGAAACAATGGATTCGATTTTGTTTCACACCACACAGTTACCAGTTCAAAGCCAGAACTTACAGAAGAATTAAAGCCTTTTCTTTCAAATTTTTAAGAGCTACAGGTCACTCTCCAAGAAGCTTCTCTGTGGCGCATCAGTGCTGATTAGTAATATTGCAGGTGCACAAAATTAACAATGCAATATGGGGCTGTAAATTTCCCTTGTGTGATGACTTGGGACCTAAATGATTATTTTTTTTTTCTTTTTAAGTTAAGTATCCTTGGTATGCAAATTGTCCAGCTGTGTTGTGAACCAGGTGGGAAGGATGGGACAAAGCACTCCTCAAGGGGCTACGTGCACTACCATGGAATTGTAATTAGGAACTGTAATTAGAATCGCTGTTCTGGCTGTGCTCTCTACAAAATAATAAGCAAATATGAAATCATAGAATTGAAGTTGGAAAAGACCACTGAAGTCATTTAGTGGTTGGTGGATGATTGGGCTGCTATTGCTCACTACGCTGTGTCCCTCAGTGCCACAGCTGCGTGTTTCTTGAACACCTTCAGAGACAGGACAGTCAATCACTCCGCTGGGCAGCTTGTTCCAATACATCCCCACTCCTTCTGAGAAGAAATTTTTCCCAATATCCAACCTGAGCCTCCTCTGGCACAAGTTGAGGCAGTTCCCTCTAGTCCTATCACTATTACCTGGGGGAAGAGGTTGACCCCCACCTAACCACAACCTCCATTCTGGCCACTGTAGAGAATGATGGTTCCCCTCATCCTCCAGACTGAACAATCCCAGTTCCCTCATCCACTGCCCATAAGACTTGTGCACCAGACTCTTCTCCAGCTTCATTGCCCTTCTCTGCCTCTATCTTTTTTGTGATGAGGGGCCCAAAACTGAACACAGTATTTGAGGTGTGGCCTCACCAGCGCTGAGCATAGAGGGTTACGGAGTACAGATCACCTCCCTGCTGCTGTTGGCTGCACTGTTTCTTATATAAGCAAGGATGCCATTGGCCTTTTTGGCCACCTGGGCACACTGCTGGCTCATGTTCAGGCAGCTGTCAGCTAACAGCCTCAGGTCCTTTTCCTCCACATAGCTTTCTAGCCTTTCCCAAGCCTGTAGCATTGTATGGAGGTCCTAATCTGCACATCTTCCTTGGTCCTTCTGCCTCTTACGTTTGTTTAAAACAAAGCATGAATTTCAGTGTAATGCTACTAGTAAAGTTTGATTTTGCTTTTTATATCTCAGCAGCCCCAGGTTGGAAAGCTTGAACAGGGTATTTAAGGCAGCCTGTGTGTTTAAGCATAGAAAGTAGAACCACCTGCTCAATCAAGCCTTCTCCAGAAGTGGCAGTTTGTCTGCTTCATTTATAATAATTGCTTTGTTGGGACACAGTTAACAAAGAGAGTTGGCTAATAAATTAATGAAGATACTTACACTGAGAAGATAATGTCATCTTGGTTAAGAAAAGTAAAGGGGACCTTCAGTTTATAATCTTCAAACATGATGTTGGTCTGTAGGTAGAGAATGATAGTTTGCTGAAATTCCAAGTTAGAAAAATCATACTTGGAAATAGTTTATCTGGAATTATGTGTATTTGCATGTAATCATTCACATTAATCATAGAATCATAGAATGGCCTGGGTTGAAAAGGACCTCAATGATCATCGAGTTCCAACCCCCTGCTATGTGCAGGGTCACCAACCAGCAGACCAGGCTGCCCAGAGCCACATCCAGCCTGGCCTTGAATGCCTCCAGGGATGGGGCATCCACAGCCTCCTTGGGCAACCTGTTCCAGTGCGTCACCCTTCCCTCGTGTGAAAAACTTCCACCTAAGTATGCTTTTCTTGTATTCTTGCTGAAAAAGTAGATTTTCATACATGGGCTTACAACTGCTTATTTTGGTGCTTGGGGACTCCTTCCCATCCCTCCCCAAACTCTCGAACCAGTGAGTGTTTCCTTTTCTGTTTATCTTTTTCTTTCTCTGGCTCCTTCCAGCTGTAGGCATCCTGCTCACCCCGCTCATTGGCTTACTGCTCTTTTTCCTGGTGGTAGCAGCAGCTGTAGGTCAGATCAAAGCATTCCTCTCCTTTGCCCTCTAAGGTGGCTTTGCTATATATTCAGACAGCAAATGAACATGGTTTGATGTCTCAGATTCAGAAGACTCCAAACAATCATCACATACTTATACATTTCCATTACAAAATTAGTCTCCAATAAAAAAAACTTCATGAATGTGACCATAAGCAATATTTTCCCCTCCTGTGAGAGGTGCTGCTTTTCCCCAGACTGCACATCACTAACTACAAACCATTCACATTTAGCTCTGACAGAAGACAAGCACAGGCTCCAATTACTTTCCACTCCTTACAAGCTGCAAGTCACAAAATGATAGATTCCTTTCATTTTTCTAACCTTCTGGTTCTCGATGCATTCACTGCATGAGAGATCCTCAGTTGTTCATTTAGCAGAGGATGCCAGAATCCTTTTTTGGCAGCTGAACTCACATTTCAGGTGCTCTCATATCTTTACAGCCACGACGGAGCTGCTGCCTCACTCTATAGTTACTGGGCTCCAATAGTGCCCAAAAAAACTGCGCTACCAGGTGTGAGTAATTGCTCTGATGGGCAATTCTGGGAGCCCCTACCCTGTAAGGAGTGGATTCACAAACAGCATCCCCTGCCCCACAGAGTATGAATTTTGGAGCACTTGAGACACAGCCACAGTCTGCACAGAAGGTAATTATTTGGGAAGTGTACGTATTCCTTTGTACTGAATGCTTTTAGCTCATGTCCCATCAATTTGAAAGGTTTTAACCTACTCTTTAGTAGTCATCAGGCTGAGTGAAGTGTATGTTCTCCACCCTGCTGTTATCCAGAGCAACCAATGTCTAGCAACAGGCAAAACCTGTCCATACTAATTTTGCTGTCTGGGCACTAAACAGTTATTTGCAGATTGTCTTTCCTTTTTGTATAAATATCTCCCAGATGATCTGCTTTTTGGGTTTAACCAGTTTCCTGGTTTCCTGCAGCAATGTTAGTGTCACTCAACTGCTCTGCTGCGCAATATCACATGCACGAATGAAACTTCAAGAAAAAAAAAAGTCCTTCTGGTTTAATGATTGTTTGTTCATCACAACTCCAAATCTTTGCTGAAGAAAAATCAATTGGATAGTGATGTTGTTCTTGCAGCCCAGAAGACCAGCAGTATCCTGGGCTGCATCAAAGAGGGGTAGCCATCAGGGAGAGGGAGGTGATTGTCCCCTTCTACTCAGCTCTTGTGAGGCTCCATCTGTCGTACTGCGATCAGACCTGGGGTCCCTCGCACAAGAAGGCTGTGGAGCTGTTGGAGTGGGTCCAGAGCAGGGCATGAAGATGATCTGTGCGCTGGAGCACCTCTCCCTATGAAGACAGGCTAGCCCTGTTTGCAGTTGGGCTTGTTCAGCTTGGAGAAGGCTCCTGGGTGACCTCATTGTGGCCTTCCAGCACTTGAAGGGAGCTTATAAGCAGGAGGGGACTGACTTTTTACAAGGTCTGACAATGATAGGACAAGGGGAAATGGCTTTAAACTGAAAGAGGGGAGATTTAGTTTATACGTTACGGAGAAATTCTTTGCTCAAAGGGCAGTGAGGTGCTGGCAAGGGTGTCCAGAGAAGCTGTGGATGCCCCATCCCTGCAGGCATTCAAGAATGACTTGGATGGGGCTCTGGGCAGCAAGTAACACTGCCCACAGCAAGGGGTTGGAACTGGATGGTCTTCAAGGTCCCTTGTAATGTAAGCCATTCAGTGATTTTATGATTTCTGTCCTGCTAAATGGAGGGGGATTGGAATTAGGAGACACTGAATAGAGAACAACCTTGCACTTAAGCCAGTCCCCACTAGTACTTGAGAGATGCTACCAAGTCCTACCAAGACTCTATAGGATTCCCCATTGAGCACTTTTGTTCTGTGTCTCTGAGCTGAAACAGCTTGAAATAATGCAAGAGCAGCACTTCAATCCACAAAGT